TTTGGTATGGTTTCATTGACGATAAATGATTCGTTGGCTTGAAAACTAATTACCAGGCATTTATCACCTAAATATGGTCGATAATAGCAACAGAACACCAAGAATCTTCAATCCGGGTATGCTGTATCAAAATAACCCCTTTTCGCACTTTTTCCCCAGGCGGACGCTTAGGGTTACGGTATTGAATTCCTAATCAACTACTTTAGTTAATTGGAGTTTTCTTTCCATTGATTTTTCTTGAGGGATAAAAGCTAATTTGCTAATTTTATTGTCTCTCTTCGTCGAAAAAGACATCGATGGAGGATTTCCTTATAATTGTTTTTTTAAAAGTTCATTATTTGCCTGAATGTACTTTGGAAGTGCTTTGTTTTGATAGCATTTATTTTGAAAGGACAACGGAGTTGAGAAAGGCTTTAATGAACACCGTTTTTGCAACTCATGGATTAAATCTTATTCAAATTAAACAGTGTTTTCCAGTTAATGTAAGCAAATTAATTTAAAAAAACATGTGACAATTTGCCTTTAATCATGAGACTATTTTGGCTCCAATAAAAGTTCTGAGCATTGATTTTATCGCGCCTCTAAGAATGCTTAAATAGACTAAAAGGTGTTTCGTATCAAGTTTGGAAGTTTTGCAAAATGAGATTTTGGCACTTGAATATTGGATGCTGAAAAATTGCTGTCGTTTTCTCATCTTAGCTTTCTCTAGTAGATCGACGTTTGAATGACAAGAACCCACTAATTCCAGATGTAAATAGTATTGAAGCATTTTAGGAGAAAATCAAATTCGAATTTTCTTTGCACTCTCGGACAGCAACAGGCTTCTAATGGCCGATTCATTTAAGGAACATCAAAACGGGGTTTTAAAAATTACTTTGTTCTCTTCAGTTTTTGCATCTTATTCAAAAAATGCTGCTATAAAAATTATAAAACAAACAGGAAGAATTATTGTTCCAAATAAGGAAAAGTCTCCTCCGTTCCCTATTCGTTGCAACCATTTCCGTAGCTAACAATGTTTAACAATTAAATGGAGTGGTGTGAAAATGGCAGTAATATGAATAAACGATGTTTATAATGCAGATTAGTGAGCGACTGCTGTACTTACAAATGATTATCACACGTTTGAAGCGATCACTAAAACACTAAAACTCGTTAGCACTGATCTTATATGCGTTAGCCACCATTATCATAGTTCCATTTAAACCAACGAAGTCTAAATGATGTAATTGTAATACCAGCATGGTATATGTGTAATTACAATACATTAGCATAAAGTAGAATTATATGTATCATACGGGAACTCGAGGTTATTCGGGTTCACCACAAATTTTTAAAGTACTTGAGTACTAAAAGTTGACACAGGCAATCAGAAGATATGTATGAACATGATTCATTACTTTCCTGGATATGGTGATGAAGCAAATCAAATATTCTAGCTAATTAGTCTGCATTAGGGATACATTTGAACAACTAGTCTAATTTTGGTTTTCCTCCATATGGCGAGACTCTGTGATGGAGTTGAAAGCTTAAATATAGCCATAATAAATCTAAGGTTGATCGTCTGAGGTGATTTTGAAATTTTCAGCAGTATCAATTTTTCGCTAAATTATAAAATCCAGTTTAAAATTCATCGAACGTTTATATTTTTTATGCTTCTAATTTCTATGTCAAAGAGATCGGATCCAATAGCGATGTGGAATTTTCTGGTTTAATGCAAACATTCTCTAACAACTATTAATTAACTCAATAAACATAATTGTATGCAAACACATGCGAAAGAGCGGCGATTTAGCAATGTCAACACGTAGATCATCCGCATCAATGCAATTTTGTTTGTTGGCTGCGTCCCTAAAGAGATTAACAGCACCAACTTTAACAGATTCGCTTGTATAGAAGCGAGTTGAAGTAGCTCAACATCCATGTTTTGAATAATTTTTTGATCAGGAATATTCCGTTTAATAAAAGCATTCATACTTTAATTTGAAAAAATTTATAAAAAGTTAACGATATAAATAAAATCATGAAAAAAAAATTGATATCCTGCTAATAAATATTCTGCTTGGTCTTAGCAATTGTATTGAAATTAAATTGTTCAATTGCCGCACTATACTAAATTGGAAAAATGGCATTGAAAGCCTCTAGATTAATTAAGCTCGCCTTTATAAATGAAGCTGATGTACCGTGTAATTGGAAAACAAAAGCCCCCAATCTAAAAAAATAAAGCTTTTGCCCTAATCCACCATAATAAATCACCGAGTCAATAAGAGAAATTAACAATTAATTTCCTAATCAAAGTGTATCCATCTTAAAAGGAAAATAGATAATTAGATGATAAATTGAATGACTTTAATCTAAAATAAATAAGCGGAAACGGGAGAAAGGGCGAAACAAAGCAAACTAAGTGGCACTAAACGAAGTAAGTGACGGATAGGGCCCTAATAAGGACGGAAAGTCGCATTAAGCAGCCAGGAGAAACGAGGACAGAAACTAGACGGTTGCGATATAAGCGTGAAATTGATCAGGGTGCCCTTTCAAAAGACCACCGAGTTATTTTGGGGCTGTCGATGTTAAGCAAATCCTGCTGTTGCCTGAGATGATTGTGTACGTCGATCAAGCTCTAGATGTTTTCCTTTCAATTGAAAACGGGTTTCTAGCGGAATTTATTTGTTTATCCAGCTATTCGCGGATTGACCAAATAGTCCAAAGCATAAACATGAACGAAGAATCCAGAAAATTGCATTTGAGCCCTTTCGATCAACTATGATTTCGATTATTCAATACCTAGAGGTTTCCAAATAATTTCCACCACCCCATTTCCCTATAGTTACTAATTCCTCACATTTAAAGATCGGATGTCTGTTGCAAAAATACTTTTTAAATAATAACATAATTTAATTTGTCATCATACATCATTCATACAATAGTGCCTGGCAAACCCTATAGAAGCTGCTTCCGACATGAGTATTTTTTGTATAAAAAGTAAAAGTGGGCTTATCGAAGATAAGCACCGAAAAACCGCTGAAGAGAYAGTTACAATAAAGCTGTAATAAAAATTACAATTATTCTACATATTAAAAAGTACTTTCAAGCGACAAACTGAATTGAGACCGGAAAATGCACATTTTTCAAATTGATTTTGCATAAAATAATTTATATTTCGACTTTACCTTATTTCTTTACATCGAATTTAAATGTTTACATTTGCCTATTTTATTTAATATTTAACTTTTCAGTAAATAAAGTGTTATTTAATTAATTTCCAATAAAACTTCGCTGCAAGTCAAACGCCATAAAGTTCGTTACTAGAAAACTGCTTTTTCTGTTATACTTTAGCTTACCTTAGTGCTACGACCAACTGTTTAAATGCTGAAATGATTCATTTTCCAAAACCATTGATTTTAATAAATATAAGAAATCAACAAATGAAAAAATCTGTAGTTATTAACTGTTCTATAATGTTAGTTGTAGGTACTACACTATTCTTCTACCATATACAGTGCATAAATATATGGGCATACTTTCAGGTAAAAGGTCCGCAGACCCCCCTAAATTTAATTAAACATTTATTTTAATATTAAGCGTTTTCTAGAAAATGGTTCAATTTATAGAAGCCAGGCAGGCTGTTTTTGGTTTAATCTTTAACTTTTTTCAAAATTGCTTTCAGTTCCCTGGTGTCTTTATACTACGGCGTGTTCAAAATTTGATATTTTATGTTAATGTCGAAATTAGTTTCAAATTTAATCAAAAAGTTATGAATTAAGTTCGATCCCAATCTTTAGAATCTATTTTCTATTATTCATTTAGCTTTGTTTAGCCGCGTTGCAACTTCGAAGCTTGTGAAAAGATCTCGAAAACTATCGTTTTTGATTGGCTGTAAATTTCACTAAATTCACCTTTTGGAAATCGATCATCGACAAAAATCAAATTTCTATCCAACCCAGAGAATAATCTTCAAAGGTATGGAAATCTTCAAAGGTATGTTGTGGAAAATAATTGTTTATAACAAAAACTAAATGAAATCATGACAAGAAAATCATTTCCGCAATTGCTAAAATTCTGCTACTGTCGGCTAACGAGAATTATTTTTACGAAATGTTCCGACCGTCTCAAAAAATGTAAAAAATGTTAAATTAAAAAATGAATGAATAAAAAAAAATAAAAAATGTTAAATTAGTTAAAAATGTTAATTTTTACTACCAGTTAAAGTTTTTAATTTGCACATTTTATACTAGTTTTGTTCTCAAATACCAAGCAAAAAAATATGTATTTTGTGTTAAATTATTGCATAACGATTCGATTCAGAAAGCAAAAATAAAATAAAACGGCCATTATATTAATCAAATTATTGCAAACAAATCAAATCAATCTTACTTAATTTTTTCATATCAGTTGCATTTTCTGTTATAAACTTTGAAAATACCGAGACAGTGTTGGGTAGACCTTGTATGATTTCATTTAGCTTTTTAATTATTTGCGAAAAAGGTCTACATTGTTGCTTGTTTCTGTCGCTCATTCCCATTTTATGGGCGCCGCTTTTATGTATTCCACTTTTTTAATAAGAAAAGGCGATAACTCTGACGATAAGGGCTGAAACGCACTCGAACGTATCCAAAGAATAACCCTGTTAATTAAGTTTGTCACTTAACTGTTCACCAGGCGGGGCGAATTTAGGTTTTTAATTATTTTTGTTCAGCATTTCCTCAGTTAGTTCATTATATAAAATTTAATTAAGTTTCCTCGGTCCTAATTTAACGCTACTAATCAAGTATAAAGTTTTTCTCTCGCTCTCGCGCTTTTACAGTGCCGTAGATTTAGAAAAGCTGAAAAGCGCTTTTAAACTGATTTGGAATAAGTTTGCAAATAAATTATGTGATAATATGGATTAATTTAAAGTCTCATACGAATATAAATCACACTCATGAAGAGAAATAATTGAGGGTCTCAAAAACATCTAGACCCTCCTATAACCGCGTGGAGTAAAATAAGATTTCATAACTTACCCAAACGGTTTGTTAAGATTATCTAAGTCCGCCTCAACACTCACCTGCAAAGACAAATAATCAGATTAAGCTACGCAAATCATTAAACCACGCTTATTATTATATCTAATACATTATTAAATCACATCTAGTGTTTGTATGTCCAGAGTTAAAAAGTATATTAAAAAGATAAGTAAGAAGCTTCTTACTTATCGGCTCTTTCATACAGTTCAATTGAGAAGAACAAAATTTAGATCATCAGCCAAAGATAAGTTAGTTGATAAATTTTATTTAATTGAAGCTTAGTTTCAGGATCAAAAAACAATCGATTTAAAAAATTTAACAGTTCTTATAAATCTTTAAATAGTATAAAATTTGTTTTAATCGACGTCACTGTAACAGCTTCGAGTATCGTCCATTTACGCCAAAATTACCGTACGTGCTTTGAAATTAAACTGATAAAAATTTTAAATGACATCCTTTATTAACTAACTGACTTTTATATTAACTTGTTTTGCAGTCCTCAAACCGGCTTTTAATTAATGTTTTTTAATTAATTTTTATCAAGTGCCTTTTTTACAAGACGTTGGTAGGCGGTCTAAAGACGTTGCATAATGTTCCATGGTTTATTAATTTAATGAATTAGGATCGTTTCTTGGCGTGACTTTCTATTTTCATTAAACTTGTAGACAATTCTGTGCAAAAAGAGCATGAATGACTCAAAATGTAATATAGAGATTAATTTATCTAAAGTGTAAATTTGACCAATTTTTCTACATATCGAAACAAATTGGTCCATTTGATTCTAAAATAAAACACTACAATTTGCATCGCGGATTCTAAATTTTCTGCAAAAGCTGGTCTAATCTTTTAAGTGTATTTTCGAAAGAATCCCCTAATAAACATGCAAGATTTATTTAATTTGGGAAACAACCTCAACTCTAAATAATAAGAATTGGCCATTTACTATATTAGAAATAAGAATAACACGAGTTGCAATAATAAAATGGACTCGCCCGCAGTCATCAATAGTAGTTGAGTCCCTTCTATCACTGGATATCTGTAAGTAATACACTTAGAAGGCCCGCGCATATATCAAAGAATTCCACCCATTATACAAATTGACTGTTGCAATCAACTTAACGAGTCCAGTTTTAACGAATTTTTTTCTATATTGGAGACTTGGACGAGAATCTGCAACGAAACAACAGCAATTTCGTTTAATGTACGTTTGCTTAATATTTAATCTATAATTATTATAAATGTTTTGCTTCAATTTGGTTTAGTCCCGCTTGGGAAATTCACTATACGGATAAGCTCAATTTTTGATGAGTCAACACTCACATTATAATGGCGTGTTATTTAAGCTTTTGACCCTTATTTGAATGGAGTGGCAATTGTTCTTTTTTTGATTAATGTCGCTGTTCATTGAACTCGTTGTTCTATTAACATTATACCTGATAATTCTCTTTTAGTTAACATACGTTAATTCTGCAAATCCTGAAAATTGAAAAATTGAAGGTTTTTGTTTCCATACTTGGTGCTAATAAATCGAGTAAATGGCCTACATTTCTAATGCAATAATCGCTTAATAAAGGACTAATAAACCTTAAGGGAAAAGTGATATATTTTTTCCAATTTACTGCTTTATTTTATTACTGTTTTGAATGTGCCCATTACGGGTTATTTCTTCATTAATACAGTTATTAATTAATGAATTAATGCAGTTGAAAATTCGGGTAGAAAACGTCTATTTACGAATTATTATTATTTAGATTAGTAAATTCGAGGTATTAGTAATATATCGATTAAAAACCAATTCGATTAGTTCCATCAGTTTCTCTAAAAAAATGTAAAGTCATCTAGTTAAGTAAATTTAGATTGTTTTTCAGAACTATAAAGCTTCTGGTCTTTGTAAAGTATAACTTTACTTATTGCGTAATATTATAAAAAAAATAAAGAAAAGTTCTAAATTTAAAGTGCCCCAAAACCAGTAAATATATAAAAGCGGGTGAATTGAAAAAGTGCCCGGCAAAGGTTTGCAAAAAAAAACACTTAGATGCCATATTTTGTCATTTAGAGGAGAAAACTCATGTGATGCCTGAATATATCAGTACAACTTTTATCAGACTAGCATCATCCATCGACTGTATTTCTGATGACTGATGACTGTAAAGTGAATAAAATGTTCACAAGTGAATATAATAGTATCTGGTAATGAACGCATACTCTGAAGATTTACCTAACAACTCTTTGAATAATGTAGAAAACTTACTTTTCAGTCAGGTGACAAGATTTTCTTAATTCTTAGTTAAACATTTGAATAGCTCTCCGTTTTGAGCAATTTTTATAATTATTTTTCTTTATTCCCTAAAGATATTTCTACAACCCTTCGTAAAATTGAGGTCGTTTTCTAAATCGGTCTGTATTGAGTCATTGCATTTCACAATTTGGCAATTAGACACATCAGCATTTCAATAGTGTACAATTTCTATTTAATACAAAAGATTCCCAAATTTATAAAACCAGATATTATGGCGTGCTACATTCAATGTAATAAAAATGTATGTTTTAATATATTTTTATAGTCGGATGCGCAATTTAATTGCACTTAAATGGTTGTATGATAAGCTGGGGAGAGGACAATTTCTTTGTAAGCCCAAAGAACAAGGCCTAATAAAATATTATCAAACCAAACTTTATGAGATTTACAATGATTTGTTTCGACTTGTCGACTCATAGGAGTTGAAAACATAAATTAACCAATTACAAAGTTGCTCTATTATTAACTTCATAGTCGTGACGAAATGAAGTATCAGTAAGTATACGAAATGAAGTAACTATTCAAAATTTCCCTTTAAATCCACCAATAAAACCACAAATAAAATTTCGCTTTTTAGAGCTATTAGTGGATTTGGTTCCACATCAGTCCTTATATTTTCCATGATAGACAAACATAGGATATTTCTTTAACTTTTTACACACCTATTTAACTAATAATCTGGCAAAATTAAAGATGGAAATCCTATTTAATTCGCTCAATTGGTTTCAACATGATGAAACATTTCTTCAAAATATTCAAATAAATTGGAACAAACGTTTCCAAAATCTTGAATTGGAAAAGGTCGGATTATCGCCTTTTGAACTTTGCGAACTTTTGACAAACCAGTCCTTATGTAGGGATATGAAGACTGGAACCTTATGAAACAACAAAAAAGTAAAATACAAGCTGCGGCAATGCAGGTCTTGAGAAAAATCATAGCGGTGAAAAAAAAATTGCGGAACTTTCTTTTCTAACAAAAGGGAAGCTTTCGAAACATAACACCAGGTCTTGAAAGCATAGAGAGACAACCGCTAAGGTGGTTTGTACAGTTAGTAAGAATGAGAATAGACAAACAAAGGAGATATGGAGGGCAAAATAAGCTTTAATCTGCATAGATTCAGAAGAGCACTAGAAGCAAACCCAGGAAAAGTTGGAAGAAGCTTATAGTGGAAAGTCTAGAGAAGCGGAACTTGAACTGGACAGAAGCGAAAGAAATAGCACAAGAGAGAGGAAAATGGGCAAGTTTAGTATTTGGCAAGTAAAATATAGTTTGCACCTACGGGTAGAAGATGCCGATTGTGTGTGTTGTACATTGATGGGCAGTAGAAGTGAGTTAAATAAGTCGATATAAAACTGGTAATGAGTAAACATACGCATGAAAAATCAATGTAATACATACTAAACGATTTGCAATGTTGCAGGAAAAAGTGCACTACACATCTGCGATAAGCACAGAGATAAAACCACTCGCAAAACAATCCGACATAACATTTGGTTATAAAATTGGCACTACACACCCTGTACAGGCCCATTACCGTGGCCACTTCACATACTGTGCTACTGCATTCCGGCCGCTTCATTTCAACAGAGCTCGTTATTCCGCTCTCTGTCCGGCTCCGCTTTCCGCTGTACAACCTCCTCTCTGACGTTAATTGAATTCTGTGTTTGTGATGCTTATTACCAAATTAGCAACGCTTAATTACCAATATGTTTTATTAGTAAACACGACTACTCGCTTACATTAGACCGCATTAAACGTTCAAAGCTTTACGCGGCTACGCTCTGAAACATAAACTGCGCTTTGGGGCCAAATGCCCTTTATCTCCCTACGTATGTACAACAGTTTATTCGGCTTCAGTGCCGGACTTACTGTGTTATTAAAACACACACTTGTTTCATTCACATCACCAAAATAGAATGCAAGATAATTAGGATTGATTTGAAATAATTGCTTTGATGACCGCTGCAATTGGCTTTAATAAATGTTTAATTCAACTCTATTGCAATTTTAAAATTATACTGCTTTTTATGTTGCAAAGAATGGTAAACTTTCTCTGTTTCAATACGTAAATTCGCAACAGTGTCAAGGGTCCATTCTTCTGGTACCGATTTGGAAGAATGGAACACCTTCTTTTTCACTCCGGCAATAATACAAATTGAATTTTCAACTAGATTCCACTAGACGGTTCCATGATAGGTTCTGACAATGTGGTTTAGATTAGTAGATTGTTTTCGTCAATTTCCGCGATGTTTCAGTTCGGAAACAAACAAGTCTAAACCGGCGTTAGTTTGGAAACCTGTCAGGAGTCAATTTTGAAAACTGCAAAGCCCATTGGAATATCTGTTGCAAAGCACCGTCTTCCGTTCGAAGTTAGCGGCTTTCCATAAAAAAGTGCAGCTTCCATAAAAAATATACTCTGTACTTTGTCGTAATTTATGTAGAGTGTGTGAGCCATCAATAAACTTCTTCAGTCAATTTCAACTTTTTGAGGAATAATTGAAATTGTATCGAAAAGTTTGCTTAATATGACTTTGACTACTTTGTACTTTAATTGACTACTTTGTTCTTCAGACATTTTTTTAAAGAACAAATGAAGCAATTTTTTATGTATAAAAATATCGTTGCTTTATTTCAATATAGCGTATATACTTTTCTGGCTGTGTTTCAATTCCAAATCAAAATTCATTCCTGGGTTTCAGTCATTTATTGTATCTATTTATCAATTAAAATACGTTTCGGTGTATTTTTC